AATGTTTAGAATTTTCGCATGTTATGTCAGATATGTTTCTCTAAAATACAACATTTTTATTACTGTTCTGTATGCAACAATTACATTTTAGGTATGTGAAAGTGAGATTATGCCCATCCAGGTGTATATTATGATTGAACATATGCTTACATTTGGCGATAATTTCTTTCAATATAATAATTTTCTTTGAATGAACGATAAATAATTCACGTGGTCCAAGGAAAAAATTGTAAATACACTATTAACATTAACTATTCATCGGAATTTACCTGATACGTTCAATTATATATATAAAAGAGTGGGTCGTCCTTTTATATTTTAGTCAGCTTTATATTTTATGTATTGTCCTGGTCAAGCAAATATAACTGGCAAGATGAACTTGTTTGGTATGAGATAAAACACAACACTTAGGTTGAATGAAATAGGGCATTTATTAAATGCCATAAATGACAAATGTTACATAATAACAAACATGGCATGTACATATTTGTATCGAAATAACCAAACTGGGAGGTAAAAACCGCCAGATTATGATATACATTGTAATCTAATGATTAACCACAAAATCAAAATAAACTTTCAAATAGATAACAATCTTAGCAAAAGTTATAATAGATGACAAAGTTGAACCAAAAACCACCTAAACAAATATAATAATATGAATTGCTGATCAAAACAATTGACCAAAAAATAGTTTTCAAATCGTGGTCGACTCGCCCAGGAAAAACCATAGTATGGAAACCTGTGCCCTTTTATCTTGTGTCTAGTACCACTTGATGTAGGGCTACATCCTTGAAAAATATTTTACACATTCTATACATGAATAATTGTATTACATATGACTAGATCATAAGTATTTATGACAACCAATAAAATTTTTTTGAAAGAGGTAAATATAACATCGACTAGTTTTATAAATCTTTGCATGAACAATATAGTGTACATCATGACTAGTTGCACAAGTATTTTAAGATAAACAATAAGTGAAACGACTGATTCATAAAAAAATAAATGAAATGGTATTTATATCACAACAAAAATTGAAAGAGGAGGATGGAGTTGGAGGAGGTGGATTTTAGTAATAAAGAATGGCGAGAATTGAGAATAGGGACGGACCAATGACATAAATTATTTTATGTGGGCATAAAATCTTATTTGTCTTAATCATTTTCAAATATAAACTTTTGGTCAATCAACATTTTAACATTCAATTTTTTAATTTTGTAGTCAATTCAGCTTAACTTTACAATTGAAAACTGAGCATAATATGTCACTTTAAGTTAAAACTCTAAAGTTTTTTTAACCAAAAATAAGAAAAAAACAAAAATCTTCTTGCACATTTAAATATGGTTTAATGACGATTATTCAGTTATAATTGAAATACTACTGTAAGAGACAGGTGGTTATTCAACTAGCTACAGATCCCATTACGGAGGTATTCAAATAAACTTGAAAACTTGGATATTTTGATTGCAGTAGTAAATGGTTGATAAAACAACATTTCAAAAGTTAAAAGATATCTACGTACAAAATAGTGAAAAATAACACTCCGATGCAAACGTATAAAAAAACCCATCTGGGCTGGGAATCAGAACTGCGTCGTATACAAGCGCCGCCATTTTTGAATAAAAAGGGCATATTTTTGTTTATTACTCTTTTTTGTTGGGAATGACTGAAAACCCGATAGATCTATATGTATTAACACGCTCCACAATTTGCTGCTTCATTTGGTTTATTTTGCTAACACAACTATTTTGTAAATCAAAAGTTATAGCGAACTTGCAACTCAGTTCTGTAGATACGATACAGTTAAAATCGATGTATCTATCGTTTTTTTACTTCAAATCAATTATATAATTGTTTCAGAGTTTACCATAAACTTCAAACTACATGTATAATTTTTCCTCACTTACTTAAATATTATTCAAAAGAGATGTTCATTTACCAAGAAATTAATGATATGATACGAAATGATACGAAACAATTGAAAATAAAATATAATATGTATGTATTGCAAATGTTTCTGAGTGAAAATAAATCTTGAAAAATCTAGCAAATCTTCATTCTACTTGATTACAATAATCAATCACTTAATTGCCAACGAGAAATTATTAAATGTCACAACAAAATCGTTGTTCCCACTTTTATGAATAATAACAGCACAGTTTTTTGGACAAGATATACCTTACAATTATGTTATGTAGGAATGTTCCATATAATTTATATTAATGAATTGTAAACACAATAACGAGTTGCTTTTATTTAAGTGGTTTGTTCGTAAGAAAAGTAAATAAGAAATACAAGCGTTCAAACTTTGACGTTATTTTCACTGTAAAACTTTATTTTTAAAGGCAGGGAAACACATTTTCCGTAATTTCACTGGTGTCATGGCTATTTTCTGCTAAATTTTAACCAACACACATAATTAAAGGCCTCGCTAAAGCCAGTTAAAAAGCATTTTTTCCCCATAAAGACAGGATTTATTTTCATCGGATGGTATTAAAATTATCACATTTCACTCGTGCTGGCATATTTAATTTTCCACCACCCGATGAAAATATAAAGAAAATATGTCTTTAACTGTTTATAACTGTAGAAAGATTACGTTTTTTTTAATTCAGACTAAAGGCGTCATTTGTAAAAGTTTAATTAATATATGGAGGACACTTCTTGAATATTCTGTGAACGGATTATTCTTAAGTTGGTTAAACACTGATACTTTCTTTGCATATAGTGACAATAACAATTAACTGTTTGGCTATAGAAAGAATATTTTCATGCATCCATAATTAAAACGGCATGCCATATTGAGGGTAATTTTCATGAAAATCATGAAAAAATATGAAATGGAACAATATTATGAAGTGAACAAAGAATGTTATTACAACTTGCAAACGGAATTTACAATCCATATAAATTACCAAAAAGAGGTCAAATATGCCAGAAGCCCTTACTGCGTTAGTCACGCAGTAGATATATAAGGATATATATACAGGTATTTATATATTATATACTGCAAATTTAGTCTTTAGTCGCACATAACATGTAAATTAATAGTTGAATCTTGAATCTCTTTACTTTTCTTTAAACTCAAGTAAATTTTTTTCAAGTTTGAATTTCTTGAACTAATTTGACTCTTCTGAAGGCATGCAGCTTTAACCGTAAGAATTAATGTACCACAGAGAGATCATGTGAAGAACGATTAGTGATCAAATGTGTAGTTTCATGATAGCCATTACTCGTCGAAAATCATTCAACCTAAAAACCTGTGTAATATGCACAAGAATTTGAGCTATCGATCAATCCTGTAAAGTTTCATTGACATTGCATTAGTGGCATGACAGAAGTCCAGACAAATTTTGAAATTAAAATCATGAAAGGCCGAAACTCAATGAACCGAGAAATGTTGATGAGATGTACAACTAGACATGGTATAGATCATTCCCCTAAAGTTTTGATGAAATTGCACCAGTAGTTTCTGAGAAGTAGTCCAGACAAAATTCTGTGTAGCTGGCAACACAAAGAAGGGCAATAACTCAGCCAAAAATAATTCAAGTTAAAATCTTGTGTATAATGCTCAAGTACTTGACCTACCAATCAATCCTGTATAGTTTCATTGATGGTGGTATAAGAGGAGTAGTCGGACAAACTTTATTAACATCCTATCATTACTGGGCTTAAAATTATTCAAGCGGAAAACCTGTATAATGTGCGCAAGTGCTTGACCTTCCAGGAATTTAAATTTGTTTACTTGAAGTGTAATATAGACTGCTCAATATAAACATGTCAGCACAGGTTAAAAAAGGTTATTTTTAGAATCAATACTCTTATTATATTATTAACCTATAAAAGGGTTAAAGTGTTCCCTATCCATCTATTAAAGGCCCATACGTTTCCCAAAACTGTGCCATAAGTTTCCCAAAACTGTGCCATAAGTTTCCCTAATTTGTGCCATAGTTCCCCAGATTTTTTCAATTTGTGCCAAAGTGCCCCCATTTACTACTACAATAAAATGCCGCTAATATACACAACTAACTAGACTTGCTACTGGACATTCATGTAAAGTTTAACATAATTAAAGGGCCATAACACCGACAAAATTCATTGGACCATAAAATGCCGCTGTTATGCAAAACTAGACTTGGTACTGAAGATTCCTGTAAAGTTTTGATGAATTTGCATCAGTAGTCTTTTTAGAAGTAGTCCGGACAAGCTTTTGTGTAGCTGGCAAATACACACACAAAACACCTTTTTTCTTCAAGGGTCATAACTCGGCCAAAAATCATTCAAACGGTATACCCGTGCAAACGGGCGCAAGGACTTGAGCTACAGATTAATCCTGTAAAGGTTCATTGAAATTGCATTAGTGGTATAAGAGGAGTAGTCCGGAATAAACTTTTAAAATAAAAATTATTGAAGGGCCATAACTCTGACAAAAATCATTAAACCGGAAAATGCTGACGATGTGCACAACTAAACTTGGTACTGACAATTCCTGTAAAGTTCGGATAAAATTGCACCAGTAGTTTATGACGAGCAGTCCGGACAAGTTTTGTGACGGACGGACAGATGGACAGACTGACAGACGACGGAGAAGTGATGTTTGCCAATTATTCATGAACAAACCACTCGGAAGATTACAAAAATTACGATTGTGAACATGCGCAAAAATTGTTTCAAATATTGTTTTTCAAACGATGAAATGTACATAATATTGACAACCTTAATATTGTTTGAACTAAATGTTTGTAAACACGCAAAAGATTGATGATATGTTGTAAAATCATAAACAGTAAACATAGAAATATATATAACAAAAATAACTGAATTTAAATCGGTGTGACCGCTCTCAAGTATTAAACTTGCGACTAAGTGTTAAAAAAATGATATACAATTAACATGTTTCTTCTAATCATTTGAACTTTTTTCCATCATTTCTTATTGTATCTAAAGCCACACCGGCACTGTAGCATCATAATTAATTATTGTATACTTAAACGAATACTTCGCTCGAAAAAATGGACACTTCTGTGTCACATACTTTAATATAACCAAACTACCAACCACAATGGCAAATAGACCTTTATACTGTAGGAAATCATCCTTGAACTTCCGTTATCCTTGCTTTCGTCCTTTGTTTCACGAAAATCTAAAGAAATAATGAATGATAATGAGAAACAAAAATTATTTAGTAGTTTTTCTCTTCTTTAATAATTGTACAGATTATTGATAGATTTCATGCTAATATACATTTCTGTTATGTATGTTAGTTATAAATATTTGTAAAGATAACAATGACATATTGGACTTCCGGTACTCTTGCTCTCGTCCTTTGCTTGGCGAATATCTGAAGCAACTACAATGAGAACAAGATATACTATCAAGGCTATATTTTGGTTTTTCCTTCTATTTTATATAAAGGATACCACTTACATCAAGGAAATATTTGTTTCTGTAATATAGCCAAAGTCAAAAATACGTACAAAATTGTTAAAAACGAAACATTTAATTGTCAAAAGCAAAACGCAAGATAAACAACCAAGATGAAAGTAAATAACAAAGTTTGAAAGCGTATAAACTTTAACGGTATATTTACTTTTGTTTGAAAATGTAATGAAACAAAAAATGAGAACGGTGACCCCAAAATGTGCATCGATTAAAATGTTTCTATTATCATATTATAACAACATGCCAAGTTTAAAGAATTTTTATTGTTGCATATTTGTCTATATGAAAACTCCCGAAAACGTCCTTAACTTCAGATCTGAAATTCCGCCAAATAAAATGTTTCGAAATTGGATACTACAATGTCATCTTCCAAACTGCTGACAATATAATACATAACAAATACTATCAACAACAACAGCAAATAGAACTTACTATTGTAAGACGTCATCACTGAACTTCCGTTGCACTTGATTTCGTCCTTTCTTTCGCGAAAATCTGAAGAAATAACAAAGCTTAAAATGAAATAATAGTTTTTAGGAGTTTTTCTCTTCTTTAATAATCATACAAAAATTTATTTGATAGATTTCATGCTAATATACATTTCTGTTATGTACGTTAGTTATAAATATTAAAAGTTTATGAATAAACCGCTGGAACTTAACAGTGACATATTGGACTTCCGGTACTATTGCTCTCGTCCTTTGCGTGGCGAATATCTGAAGCAATTACGAGAACTATATTTTTGTTTTTCGGTTTTCTAGAATTTCATATCAATTGTTTTCTTAACAATTTTGATGATAAAATGTAGAAAATAACTTTGGCCAAAATAGATAGAAGTACAAGGAATATTTTACCATTGGGTATAATTCAGTTTAAACACACACAAAACTTGGAGTTAAGTTAAATTTTATATTTAATGACAAAGAATTTTAACAGTTTAAATAATATTTTTGAATAGTCAAACTGCAATCATGTAAGTAATTTATTGTAAAACTGGTTTTGTATTTTTTGCTTAAGTCTCTCTGTTTTTAGCTCACCAGAACCGAAGGTTCACGGTAAGCTATTAGTGTCAAAGCGGATGCTCCGGCGTCCATCGCCCGACGTCATGTGTCAACAATCGTCTTCATCTCTGAAATTGCTGGACAGATTTACTTCAAATTTGGTGTGTAGCATCCTTGTGACAGTCACACTTGAATATGCTCGTGTCATTTCAATTGGCCCCTTTTAGGGGTCAACAGAGCAAAAAATAGAAAAACATCTAAACATCCTCTACTACAGAACTAATTGATAGATGATCACAAAACTTTGTCTGTAGCATTCTTGGGTAGTCTTTTTTTTCTAGTTTGCTCATATTATTTTGATTGGCCCCTTTTAGAGGTCTCTAGGGCTAAAAATAGAAAAAAAACTTTTAAACATCTTCTACAGAACCTATGGATGGATTATCACCAACCTTTGTCTGTAGCATTCTTGGGTAGTCTTTTATCAAGTTTGCTCATATTAATTTGATTGGCCCCTTTTAGGGGCCTCTAAAGCTAAAAATAGAAATACCTTTAAACGTCTACTTCTACAGAACTAATTGATGGATGATCACCAAACTTTGTCTGTGGCAGTCTTAGGTAGTCTGTTATCAAGTTTGCTCATATTAAATTGATTAGCCCCTTTTAGGGGTCTCTTAGTCTGTTATCAAATTTGCTCATATTAAATTGATTAGCCCCTTTAAAGGGTCTCTAGGGCGAAAAATAGTAAAACCTTTAAACATCTTCTTCTACAGAACTAATTGATGGATGATCACAAAACTTCGTAGCATTCTTAGGTAATCTTTTATCAAGTTTGTTCATATTAATTTGATTGGCCCCTTTTAGGGGCCGCTTAAGCTAAAAATAGAAAAACCTTTAGACATTTTCTTCTACAGCACTAATTAATGGATGATCACCAAACTTTGTCTGTAGCATTCTTGGGTAGTCTTTTATCAAGTTTGATCATATTTATTTGATTAGCTTCTTTTAGGGGCCACTAAAGCTAAAAATAGAAATACCTTTAAACGTCTATTTCTACTGAACTCATTGATGGATGATCATCAAACTTTGTCGGGTAGTCTTTTATCAAGTTTGCTCATATTAATTTGATTGGCCCCTTTTAGGGACCGCTGAAGCTTAAATGCCCAAGGTCATGGCATTTCTTCAAATTATTGTTTAAACATGTTCTATGGTCAAATTTGATATAAGAAAATATTGACAATGGATAATTTCCAACACTGAAAAGCAGTTTTTTTCTGCTGAGCGACTCAGGGCCATCATGGCCCTATTGTTTTTAATGCTCCCATTGTTTTCTAAATTTTCTTATTCGAAGCTATTGTACTCTGTGTAATCTTATACCCTTCTAGTCCCTTCACTAGTTCAGACGCTATTTTAGATGCTACAGGTAATTTCAAACGATCAACCTTTCTTTATCGACTGTCACTCTTAACTTAATACAGATGATTTCAATGTTGATATCTGCTTTATTTTAACACTATGATAAAATGTACGGGAATGGGCAAACTTCAATGACAATTGATATATGGTTAAAGATTTTTAAAGTTACGAATTAAAACATAATGATGAAATTTAGAAGTGGCGGCATGGCCGAGTGGTTAACGCGTCAGACTAGTAATCTTAGGATTGCTGACCGTGTTTGTTCTAACACTGCCGTTGTTTCCTTGAGGAATTTTTTTTTTATATTAAATTCTTAGTACTAGTTGGTTCCAGAAACGGATTCGAGAGTGTTTGAATAAGCTTATAGCTTCCAATAAACTAAATTTGTATAAACTAAAACATAAACAAACTTACACGAACAAGATTGCCGGCAGAATGGCGGATCTTCAGACGGTTGCCTAGAGCAAATGTGTGTACATTTTTTACACTCATGTCCGGTCCAGTACATGTTGTTGTTGCACTGCAGGTTTGAGTCTATTAGATATAAGAATAAGTAGTTACATAGTATGTTAGATATAAGAATAGGTAGTTATATAGACTGTTTGATATAAGAATAGGTAGTCATGTCTACGAATTAATGGAAACTGTAAGAAAAGGGACGAATTAGAGAAAATTGTAAGAAAAGGGAAGCACGAGTTCGTTAACGTACGAATTTTGTTAGAAATATACATTGTATTATTTTTTTTTGTTACAATACATAATGACAAACATGAGAACCATAATTCCCCTGATATCGCAAGACTTTTAATGACAAGGTGCGACGGGCAACGGACATGCGTGGCCTAAAAAGAAAAAGTGAATAACACCGATACACCGGTCAATTTATAAGTCCATTTTATTTGATATATCGAATTAGTGAATAAAGAAAAATACATGAATTACCTTCACATGATAAGCGAAGAAACGACTCTATGTCAGCATCAACTTCATCTTTGAGGTTTATGAAGTGGTTTTCATCTGTTGCAAGACAGTACCAAAAATTAGGTGTACGTTTCCTTCCACAATACACAATAAACGTTTTCATTGTCTTTAGTGCTTTAATTAGTTTTTCTTCATCGTCCACTTTTGTTTCATCATTTACCACAAGAAACAACTCTGTTGCTACGTTTGTGTTTCCAGTTTGATAGACTGATATAGAATCTATCAAACTCGTTGCTGAAATAACACCCGTCGTTCCTTTATGAAAATCGTTGATGATTTTGGGCCATTTTAACATGTTTTCTTTGTTTTTGACACCTTCTGTTATAGTTATTATTGACGTATGGTTTAACGTGTCTACTTGAATGTTACTACCATCATGAGTATTGTCCATGATCTTATAAATATTATGTTTTTGCACACGAACATCATCACCTACGATTCTATCCAAGAACAGATACGCGTTGACAGGCAAGCATTTGTGGTGTCTATGTAATCCTGAAAAATATAAATTTCATGAGTCATGGCAAGTAAACTACCACACACACACACGCACACGCACGCACGCATGCAAGGCACAACCAAAAAATTAGACCTTTGTTATAATATTTCCATTGAGTAACAGTAAATATTGAAAACAATTTTTTTATGATTAAGTGACTGGAAAAAAACCACTTTTTTCTCTCGGACATACATGTAATTCACTTTCATTTATAAACAATTTTAAAATGGCTGCCTTTAATAGAAAGTGTTTTAACTAAAATCGATTTTGTCGATCAACATTGAGACAGTCAGATTGAGACATATATTGCGTGAATGTTATACGGATAACGTTTTGGACCTCACATTTTGTAAGTTTCCTTATTCACACACTTTCTTAACACGATGGCTGTTAATTTTGTATGATTTTACGGTGTTTGTTGTTTGGGGTGGGTTATTGTCATGTTATTGTTTTTTGTTGTTTCTTTTTCCTGATAGAATGTCAGACGTTATACAAGAAAAGATTTTCAGCAGAACCAATGCTAAAAGCAATAGTTACTTAGTTCTGGAAATGGCCGTGTAATTATTTTTTCGATAAACTGAATACTGATACATGTTCGCTACAAATTTCCTTCTATTTCTATGGTGTCCTGTTTGAGACATGTTAAGCTTTAAGATTGACTAAATCACTTGTTTAAGCGGGACTCTTTGAAGAATACTTTACTCACAGGCGTTGGTGTCGTCATCACACTTTCATGACTTTGGCGAAGTATTTGCGTGCTTGGTATCTTCAAAGCTACTAAAGGGAATGGGTTTAAACTTCACAAACACTTATTTAAAAGCACAATAGATCATTAACCAATGCCCATTACTCTGACATGGATTTTGACAGAACTATGTTCCTTTTTGAACTTAGAAAATTCAACTTTATCCAGGCTCTTGTTTTATTATCAAGCGCTTCTCTTGTAAATAAATAAGAGATATAACAATCGAAGAACTTTCACTATAGTCACGGTTACTGTAAATAAGCTACAATGCGAAAGTTATGGTCAATCATCTTACATTTTTGATTCTCACGAGGATAAAGCGACAAATTCAATGTTGAAGTTTTATTAGAGAATGTAAAATCACGATACTTTATCTATAAAAAATACAGAGAGCGACACATGATTTTTAGGGGAACAATTCCGCATATAACTGGTCCAAGCAGGACAACGTATATTTCAGCTGCACTATATCCACTTATACGACTATACCCCCACCAGAGCTGTAAGAAGACATTTTTTTTAACTAACTGTTACTTTCCACGTGGACTTAGCGGGTTTCCTGTCTGGGCGATCTCAGACACCTATAATTGACATGCAAGATTTTTTTTTCTTAGACTTTTGAGGCACCATAACGTATTTTTATAGATAAAATAGCGAGACTTACATTCTCAATTGAAACTTTGCAGTCATTTTAAAATTGTTTGTGAATGAAAGTGAATTCTGTCAAATCAAAATAAGTGCGAATGCAATTTGTCAAAACCTTGAACTACCAAAAGCTTATACAGGCCATGTAAAAATTTTCTATAGTTTCATATTTTCAACAAAAACATACATTATTTTCAATAAGATCTATTTATTATTAAATGCGTTTTTTATTTAATCTGTTCTTTAATTAAATCGTCGTATAAGTCAGATACAGTTACTCGTATTTTCTTCAAAAATGTCTTCTGACAGACGTGAAGGAGACAGTTTGCTAGGACAAACAACAATTTATCCTCGACTTCGCCTCGGAAATTTTGTTGTCTTTCCACGACATGAACTTAAAAAAAATGCTTTCTTCCGCGCGAGTTATTTACGACGAGAGTCTTGACTGCATCATACCTATAATATAGAAGCAGGCAAGAACGTAATTTCCATTTAGAGAATGCATGCATCAAAACATTCACAGATAACAATTTTGATGTGTAGCAAATGACTGTTATTAATTGCGCAAGTAGTTATTTACTTTGCCGATTGATGCACTAATTAAGTAGCGCATGTAGGTCAACTAACCGTAAGTAACTCGTTTTGTTATTGTGATATTAAGATATTTTTGTTTGTTAACCACATATATACAATAAAGATATTAGGCAAGAGTACACGTGAATGGAAAATTAATTTTGGTATCCCATTACATTATTGCCAAATAAAGATAAAACATCTTACGACAGTATCCGTCCCATATAGGCATTAAAACAGAATTTTGTAAAAAAACAAAACAAAAACAACAACAACTTGATATAAGTTCATTTGGTTAGATTACAATCGATAGTGCAAATTTGAATAAACATTTGTATTAGCAACTAATTATAGATAGAGCTATTAATAGACTTGGGTTTTTGGGAAACCGATGAGGGATTTCCTTGTTAATTAAAATATTGCACAAATTACATTTTTTCTGAACTTTACTAAAGGTTCCAATCAAACAGATAATATATTAGATGAGATGTCCGAGACTTTTCGCATTATTTATTCTAGTTTGCAAAAACAAATGTATTGTGAAATAATATTTGTTCCCTAAAATTTGACTAAGAAACAGAGAAATTTGCGCGACAATCAATTTACAAAAAGCAGAAAACGGTTTTTAGTAAAGGCTAAAAGCAGGGTTATGAAAACTGCATAAAAAGTGTGATTTGTTTTTATAGTTCTCGTTAGTAATATAAGCATATTTTGTTTTTCAGTTAATCGCATCGACAAATGTAAATAAACATTTGCAAGCCAACATAATTATGTATAGATAGAGTTATTAATAGACTTAAGTTTTTGGGAAACCGGTATGTTGAAAAACTGCGCATGTTTCCAATCAAAATGAATCATTTGTATATGCCTTAGACGAAATTTATGTTTATTTATCGTACATAATTTTTAAACATGTCACTTTAAACGTTTCAAATATAATGGATTCTAAACATAAAGTACATTATCTTAATATAATGAAAGTTAATTAAGTTCTTCCTTTATTGATTACGTACATGTCTATATAATATACGTTATTATGTTTTTAACCGCCTCAACTAATCTGTTTCATTATTTTCGTATACACTTGTCCTCGATAAGAAAAATTCTTTTCTTTAATTTACTTTAACTAAAGTTAAATTGCAAATTGATAATACAAATAATTAGATTCGTCATTGTAAATGTCTACCAACCTCTGACAAAATACGGCAGGAAACATAACACAAAAACACTAAAAAAGAAACGATTCACACAGACTCTCATCTTCTATTTAGCTGATATTGTTACTCATGAACATATATATCATCCAGATTTCTTTAATCCTTTTTAGTTATATTATAAACACATGAAATATAATCCTTTATCAGTATCTTCAAATCTGATGTATGTTGCGCAATTCTCACCTATCGACAAATAGACACAATTTTGAATACAAAGAATTGTGCCTGTTAGGATTTTATTACCATATATGGTAAAGTCCTGCTAATGTTCCACCATATATGGTAAAGTACTGCTAATGGATTACTTAAAATAGAGTTTGTTTGTCGCATCTATACATGCACGGTATTTCGGTCTACACTAAATATGAAATGACAATTTATTTATATGAGTTGCTATCTAAAATTAATCAAAAACATCGGGTAAAATTAAACCTGAATTAATTTATAGATATAAAAGTAAACAATAAGTTATTTATATAAGTATGAATATGATCGTAGAAATCGAAAGTAGAAAATGTTTACCTTTTGACATTAATTGATTCGGATTTGGTTATAATTAAACATTTCTTTTATTGAATATGAGTTTCAGACGTATTTTAAATGAAACCAACTTAAGACTTTATATTCCTTTTAAATATTAATATTATTTTTAATTAAATTACATGTTATACATTATTAAAGATTGCACTCTCAAGTTTGGTTGCATCTTAAACCGGTTATTATGAATAATAGCCGAGTTGTTCCGATTGATTTCGGACAACGTATTTTTAAACTTGACAGATTAATGAATAGTTGTGAAAAAAATTTATACTAAAACTATCTTTTTTTGTAAAAACATTATGTTAGAATTTAGATAATTAATACTTCTCATTCTACGTTCCCGTTTGTTACAATGTAAAATACATGTAGTATTGAATTCAGTAGTTGAAATGAACAATATTATCTCCTATTTTTGTTTATTCAGCTAGTCATAAGTGTATTCTTTTATTGTGATATTAGTTTGATTTTGACTATTAAACTGTTATTTTTCTGTTCGTTGTTTTGCTATAACCAGTTGCATATTATTTATATGCCTTGGTTTAACTGTGGGTTTAACGTAGCACAGCAGTAGCAGTAGAAAAATTATGAAACGTGAAGTTGGCAATGGCAGCTTAGCAGTAGCAGTAGCAAAATTATAAAACGTGAAGTTGGCAGTAGCAGCTCAGCAGTAGCAGTAGCAAAATTATGAAACGTGAAGTTGGCAGTAGCAGCTCAGCAGTAGCAGTAGCAAAATTATGAAACGTGAAGTTAGCAGTAGCAGCTCAGCAGTAGCAGTAGCAAAATTATGAAACGTGAAATTGGCAGTAGCAGCTCAGCAGTAGCAGTAGCAAAATCATAAAACGTGAAGTTGGCAGTAGCAGCTCGGCAGTAGCAGTAGCAAAATTATAAACCGTGAAGTTGGCAGAAGCACAGCAGTAGCAGTAGGTAAATTATAAAACGTGAAGTTGGCAGTGGCAGTGGCTCAGCAGTAGCAGTAGAAAAATTATGAAACGTGAACTTGGCAGTGGCAAAATTATAAAAGGTGAAGTTGGCAGTGGCAGAAGCACAGCAGTAGCAGTATAAAAATTATGAAACGTGAAGTTGGCAGTGATAGCTCAGCAGTAGCAAAATTATGAAACGTGAAGTTGGCAGTAGCAGTGGTACAGCAGTAGCAGTAGCAAAAGTATGAAACGTGAAGTTGGCAGTAGCAGTGGTACAGCAGTAGCAGTAGCAAAATTATGAAACGTGAAGTTGGCAATAACAGTGGCTCAGCAGTAGCAATAACAAAATTATAAAAATTGAAGTTGGCAGTAGCAGTAGATCAGCAGTAGCAGTGGCAAAATTATGAAACGTGAAGTTGGCAGTACCAGTGGCACAGCAGTAGCAGTGGCAAAATTATGAAACGTGAAGTTGGCAATAGCAGTGGGTCAGCAGTAGCAATAGCAAAATTATAAAACTTGAAGTTGGCAGTAGCAGTAGATCAGAAGTAGCAGTAGCAAAATTATAAAACGTGAAGTTGGCAGTAGCAGTAGCTCAGCAGTAGCAGTAGCAAATTTATAAAACGTGAAGTTGGCAGTAGCAGTTGCTCAGCAGAAGCAGTAGCAAGATTATAAAACATTTTTGACTTGTAGGGACCTTAAAGAGTCCATTTCATTAACCTGCGACTTATCGTCAGACACCCGCAGACTTTCAGGATTTTTTGTGACAAAAGAGATGATGACATTTGGTACTTCTAGGGTCCCGCCAGAGTCCATTTTTCTTGTCTGCGACTGATTCTGGGACACTCGCAGGCTTTCAGGAATTTGTGGTGCCAATGGAGTTTATCACAATTTTGACTCCTAGGGACACGCCAGAGTTCATTTCTTTGGCCTTCGACTTATTCTGGGACAATCACAGACTGAAAGTCTGAGAGTGTCCAAAAGAAAGTCGCAGACCAAAGAAATGGACTCTGGATGGTCCTTAGAAGTCAAAAATGTCATTATATGCCATGGCACCAAAAGTTCCTGAAAAACTGCGAGCGCCTCAAAATCATTTGCAGACCAACAAAATTGACTCAGGAGGGTCCCTAGAAGTCAGAAATGTCATTATCTGCATTTACACCAAAATTCCTGAAAGTCGGCGAGTGACTCGGAATTAGTCGCAGACCAACGAAATAGACTCAGGAGGGTCCCGTAGATTGAAGTAAAAAATGTCATTATCTGTTTTGGAACTAAATATTTCTTTCAGCCTACGAGTTCCAAATAATCAGTTGCAGACCAACGAAATGGACTTCTGAGGGTTACTAGAACCGAAAATAGGTTTATATATCCATCTGTACCTAAATCCTGGAGGTCTTCGAGGATGTTCGTCACAGCCGCAGCCGCAGACCATTGAAATAGATCTCACAATAAAAACTACATTTTCAGAGGCATTTGGATTATAAGAGGATGCATAGAAGAAAATTTACTCTGTATTTAGGAATGCCCTGCCTATTTTGCTCCGCCAGTTCAGCATTTCAGCAGGACAGTTTTATATTTTATTTAAGAATGCCCTGCTAGTTTGCCTATACTTTTGCTACTGTTACTGACAACTTCACGTTTTATAAATTTGCTACTGCTCACTGCTAACTTCCTACCGGTTTGGTTTAAGGTATTACGACCCTAATGGGCACTATAAGGAACTAAAAAAATGACATCATAGGTCAGATATATACCTTAAAGTACACCTGTATGCAAAATTTAAACAAAGTTTACCGCACGGAAATCAAGTTATGTCCACTTTTCTGAACTCAAGATAGGATGTTATGAGGGCCATTTTTTAGAGATGAGGAACCTTTAAATAATCTGTAATAACATTCTAATGAAAAATGTTTTCCCATTAATTTTTGGTAAGAAACAGATAGTACCATTCAGCTAACAATCCACATAAGCAAAATTATGGTTTCTACTTAAAATTATGAAATCTGTATAAAAATGTTACCCTACCCCACCCATTTTTACCACGTGTCAGACCATTTTCCTACTTAGGGAGCCTAATTTAAAAAATCCTCAAAATTTACCCAAATGAGTGCCTGTTTTCAAAGTTTCCCTAAATTTTAAAAGAAGTATATTGGTTGATCTTGTAAAATATGAAATACTTTTACCGTCTAGTTTTGATTTTATTACACTTTGAAAATATCAGGTACCATACTTATTACTAGATTTAGCATAGTTTAGCCAATAAATACCTATATAAATTAAAAAAACAAAATTAAACACTTTTTTCTTTCCAAATGGGACATGAGAGTTACATAAATAATGTTAAAAGAAAAAAGAAAGAAAAAAAAAGTTGACCCTTCTGGGGATTGAACCTTCGGCCCTCATTTTCAATGTAGTTAACAGTAGTTCTAGCCTATTAGCGGAGGTAACGCATTAGGATGGTAATACCTTAATAAAAACTGAAACTGGGGGAAACTAAGGCAAAATCTATTTCTTCCTAACATCGCCTGCTTCTCTTTTTGTGAACTCTTCATAAAATAAGTTGATGACATTAAGATATTGAAATATTGATCACGACTATTTTTAGAGTGACGACATTTGTTTGTCACACTGTATGAAAAAGTATACCATCTTTCGGAAATTAAAAAAAAACCAACATACTGATTTTGGATGAAAGGCAAGTTACCCAGGGATGATTTAAATGGTATAATGTAGTTTAGAAATTACACTCTAAATGCACAAAATACAAATAATTGTTAACACAATAAGCTCTTGTTTATCATTCTTTTTACAAATCTACATGTTTATGATAATTTACAATTAAATGCTCAAACCTTAGTTCGAATCTGTATTATTAGTAATTTGGACCGTTAGGCTTAAATGTTGCAAATAAATACACAGTTGAGTATTGTAATTTTTGTATTTACAATATAAATGTTTAATAAAACAATGCACAAAATACAATAATTGTTAACACAATAAGCTCTTGTTTATCATTCTTTTTACAAATCTACATGTTTATGATAATTTACAATAAAATGCTCAAACCTTAGTTCGAATCTGTATTATTAGTAATTTGGACCGTTAGGCTTAAATGTTGCAAATAAATACACAGTTGAGTATTGTAATTTTTGTATTTACAATATAAATGTTTAATAAAACAATGTTGCTGTGATTTTGTTGTTCTCCTTTATAGTCATTTCATTGTGTCTTCTCATTAGAGCGTAGCAAAGCCACCTACTTATCTTAAGTTTAAAGAAGTCAACATATATAGTGAAACATAGGCAAATAAAACCTTTTGTCTGACTGACTTCACTGAACATTGAACTACAAATGATAAGGTGAGACAATCAGGTGACATTCAGGTGACAGATTATTAATAGCAGAAAATGGTTTTCAGTAAAAGTTAAAAATATCGTCTTCAGCGTTACGAATTTATTTATTTTGGATTTTTATTAGACTTGGGTTTTTGGGAAACCGATGTGGGTATTCCTTGTTTATTAAAATATTGCACAAGCTACATTTCTTTTCTTAACTTTTCTAATGGTTTCAATTAAACAGATAATAGATAAGACGTCCGAAAATTCCGCAATATTTATCAACTTAAAATTGATCTAGTTAACAAAAACAAAAGTTTTATAGATACACAGATAATTATGTGTTTTTGAAAGATAGATACTTAAATTATTCGTATTTAT